GAGCAGGGAGCCCGATGCGGGGCTGGATCCCAGGACCCCGGGATTATGACCTGAGCCGAAGGCAGACGCTTAACGACTGAGCCACCCAGGCACCCCCCCTTTTGTAAATTTTATTTATTTATTTTTAAAGATTTTATTTATTTGACACAGAGAGATGGTGAGAGAGAGAGCACAAGCAGGGGGAGCAGCAGAGGGAGAGGGAGAAGCAGGCTCCCCACTGAGCAGGGAGCCTGATGCGGGGCTCGATCCCAGGACCCTGGGACTATGACCTGAGCCGAAGGCAAACGCTTAACGACTGAGCCACCCAGGTGCCCCGTCCCCCGTTTTTTTTTTTTTAAGATTTTATTTATTTATTTGAGAGAGAGAGACACAGCGAGAGAGGGAACACAAGCAGGGGGAGTGACCACTATCTATTTCTAAAACTTTTTCATCATCACAAAGAAAAACTCCCTACCTATTAAGAAATAACTCATCCCTCCTTTCTACCCAGCCCCTGGTATCCTCTATTCTACTTTCTGTCTCCACGAATTTGCCTATTCTGGGTACCTAGAATGGAATGGGATCATCTAATATTTTGTCCCTTTGTGGCTGGCTTTTCTTCAGCACAGTGTTCCAAGGTTCATCCATGTTGTGGCATGGGTCAGGAATTCATTCCTTTTTATGGCTGAATAATATTCCATCGTGTACACAGACCACATTCTGTTTATCCACTCATTCATAGATGGACAATGGGTTGTTCCCATCTTTTTGCTATTGTGAATAATGCTGGTTTGGCCATCCATGCAGAAGTTTCTGGGTGAGCATATGTTTTCATTTCTCTGGATACATACTGAGTAGAATTGCTAGATCATATGGTAATTCTATGTTTAACTTTTTAAGGAATAGCCAAATTGTTTTCCGTAGCAGCTGCACCATCTCACATTCTCACCACCAGTGTATGAGAGTTCCACTTTCTCCATATCCTCATCAACATGTGTTATTTTACATTTTTAAAAATTATTATTATAGGGCACCTGGGTGGCTCAGTCGGTTAAGCGTCTGCCTTTGGCTCAGGTCATGATCCCAGGGTCCTGGGATCCAGCCCCGCATCAGGCTCCCTGCGCAGCAGGGAGTCTGCTTCTCCCTCTGCCCCTCCCGCCACTCGTTCTCTCTCTCTCTTGCAAACAAATAAAATCTTTTAAAAAATTATTATTATAGCCATCCTAGGTTTTCTCCATTTTTGTCACTTAAGGAAACAGGTGTCACTGAGGACAGAGCATAGATCTTAGGCAGAAAGCCCAGCTCCACCACTAACAGGCAGTGTGAATTTGGCATGTTCCTGGACCTAGTAGAGCCTCAGTTTCTTCTTCTGTAAAGTGGAGCTAATAATGCTTGTTTGGCAAGGTTGTTTCGGAGTTATGAATAAAATGATGCATATAAAACACTAGTTCAGCCTCTAGAGCATAAGAAGCTCAACACACGGGAGTCCCCAGCTGGCTCAGTCGATGGGGCATGTGTGTTTTTGAGTCCCATGTTGGGTGTAGAGATTGCTTAAAAATAAAATCTTTAAAAAAAGAAGCAGCAGCTCAATACGTGGTAGCTGTTATTTTCCACCAAAATATAAGCTTAGGGAAGGCAGGGATTTGGTCTGTTAGGCACACCTCAGTATCCTAAATGCCTAGAACAATGAGCCGCACTCAGTAGACACTCCACAATATCTGTGGAATGAATGAATGGAGAACTTTCCCAACAGGTAGGGCTCTGTGGAAATGAATGATTTGGATAGTGAGGACCCTGTCACTGGCACTGTTCACGAATGATCTGCATCCACACTCAGTAACGGATTAGGTGCCAGGCCCCATGGAGAGACACCAAGATGAAAACATCCCCGCCCTACCTCCAAAGAGCAGAGGCTACAAGACTTGTGGGGACACAAGCGCACCCATAACTAACCTCCACGCCGGGCCATACAGGCTCCTGGCAGAGTGGGAGCGGTGCTCCGGGAGGACGGTCAGCCAGGGGGGGTAGGGGATGGAGCTGGAGCACCCCGGCGGCGGGTGTGGCCCCGGCGCCAGTGAAGCCAGCGCGTGTGGGGCCACCGGCCCTCACCCAGGTGCTGCCCGACCGAGAGGGGAAGCGCTGCATGTTCTGTGTGAAGACAGCCTCCCGCACGTACGAGATGAGCGCCTCCGACACGCGCCAGCGCCAGGAATGGACGGCGGGTGAGTGCTCGCCTGGGTCTGGCTGCGCCTCGGGGGGTGACAACACTGCCCGTGAAAAGGGGGTCACCCCACTGCCCAGCGGGAGGCTGGAGACTACCTCGAGCCACCTCTAAGGTCCCTTTCTGGAGGTGGGCCACCTCGAGGACCGCGCTGCTCCCGGCTAGCCTCCTGCCGACCCTGTCCCTGTCCCTCCGCAGCCATCCAGACCGCGATCCGGCTGCAGGCCGAGGGGAAGATGTCTTTGCACAAGGACCTGAAGCAGAAGCGGCGCGAGCAGCGGGAGCAGCGGGAGCGACGCCGGGCGGCCAAGGAGGAAGAGCTGCTGCGCCTGCAGCAGCTGCAGGAGGAGAAGGAGCGGAAGCTGCAGGAGCTGGAGCTGCTACAGGAGGCGCAGCGGCAGGCCGAGCGCCTGCTGCAGGAGGAGGAGGAGCGACGCCGCAGCCAGCACCGCGAGCTGCAGCAGGCGCTGGAGGGCCAACTGCGCCAGGCGGAGCAGGTGGGGCCCGCACCCGGCGGGGGCCGGGGGGGGGGTTCGGGGGGAGAGGGATGCGGAGAGACCGGGCCCGGGAGCGGAGGGCCGGGGGCGGGGCCGGGGCCGAGGGCGGAGCCCGCGGCCTGGGAAGGAGGTGCGTGGAGGCGGGGCTTGGAATGAGGGACTTGGGACAGAGTCCCTGCACTGGAAACATGCGTACGGGACCGGACCTGTGCCAGGGGCGGGATGAGGAAGGCGTGGGGGTGCAGGAACCTGGCCGAGGGATGGCTTGAGATGAAAGATGGGGTGGGGCCGTAGCTGAGTGCTATAGGTGTAGAGTGGGGCCTGGTTTGGAGACCTTGGCTGGGGGCGGGGCTTGGACAGATGCTGCTAAAGACCCCCTAGTCAGGGATAAGTTTGGACCAACGCTAGACTAGATTGGACTAGACTTGATCTAAGTTTACAGTGAAACCAGTTTGGGGAATGCAGGGTGGGAGGAAGGAGGGATTTACGAATGTGGAGGCGGACTAGGCATGTAGAGGCAATCAGATTTAGGATTTAAGAGATCTAGAGCTGGAGTTAGAGACACCTGGATTCCATCCCAGCTCTGCCTCTTAGGAGCCTTGTGATCTCAGGCAAGTTACTTAGCCTCTCTGTGCCTCAATCACTTATCAGTGACGTGTTGATGCTAACTGTGCTCCTAGAGGATCAAATGAGGAAATACCTTTAGTTGTTATAACAATTATTATAATTATAGTCACTCCCTGCCTAGCACTAGCCCTAATTATAGTCATAATACCTAATATTATAACACATAATAATAATTATTAAGGCTGGTGCTAGGCAGGGGGTGACTTGAGCCCCCCCCATGTAGCATCTGTTCACTGACCATTATCTTCCTAGTCAGGCTCCCACAAAGAGATCAGATCAGGAAGGAATCCCGACATGAAGAAACTCCCCAGACCGTCACTGAGAGAGATCTATGTGGGCCAGCCTAGCGGAGCCCTGGGTAAAGGGCAGCGTACTTGCAGCCTCCCCTGCCCCACGCGGTGCCCCCAGTGACGTGGCTCCGCGTCCCGGCACAGGCCCGGGCCTCCATGCAGGCCGAGATGGAACTGAAGAAGGAGGAGGCTGCCCGGCAACGGCAGCGGATCCAAGAGCTGGAGGAGATGCAGCAGAGGCTCGAGGAGGCCCTGCACCTGGAGGTGAAAGCTCGGCGGGACGAGGAGGCCGTGCGCCTAGCCCAGACCCGGTAGGACCCCTTCTCGTTCCCCTCCCCTGACTCCCCGGCGTCCCACTTGCTGAGCGCCTGCGAGGTGCCTTGGCTCTGGAGACGACGCAGCGCCCGCCCGCCCGCAGCCTGCTAGAGGAGGAGGAGGAGAAGCTGAAGCAGCTGCTGCAGCTGAAGGAGGAGCAGGAGCGCTACATCGAGCGCGCGCAGCAGGAGAAGCAAGAGCTGCAGCAGGAGATGGCGCTGCAGAGCCGCTCCCTGCAGCAAGCCCAGCTGCAGCTGGAGGAGGTGCGGCAGAACCGGCAGAGGGCCGACGAGGACGTGGAGGTGAGGCCGGGGGTGGGGGTGGGGGTGAGGGGATAGGATGGAGGCCGGCGGGGTGAGCGCCTCCACGCGCAGGATCTGGAGCCTTCCCTCAAACCCTGACTCTTCCGTCTCCCCGCTGTGTGACCTCAGGCAAATTGCCTAACCTCTCTGAGTTTCAAATCCCTCATCTGGGAAAGGTGCCTCTAATAGCATGGTCTGAAGACTAAAGGAGCTGATGGCTGACATTTAGTATGTACCAAGTGGGGAAGAAACATTAGCTGCTATTTTTATCATTATTATGAATCTGGGCAAAGTTTCTTTCTCATACTCTTCCAAGCGCCTACCTTGCTCTCCCTGTACTTTGGCTCTGATCTCCATAGAAGAGGGGTTTTTTGTTGTTGTTTTGTTTTTTTAATTTTTGATGTTCTTTTTTTTTTTTTTTTAGATTTTATTTGTTTATTTGAGAGAGAGGGGGAGAACGCAGAGGGAGAGGGAGAAGGAGAAGCAGGCTCCTGCCTGAGCAGAGAGCCTGACGAGGGGCTCCATCCCAGGACCCTTGGGATCATGAACCCAGCCAAAGTCAGATGCCTAACCGACTAAGCCTCCCAGGCACCCCGTCACTTAACTTCTTTTGCACTTTGTTGTTAACTTCTGCTCTGGAGATTAACTAAAATAATAAATATACTTAGCACATCGTAGCTGCTTAATGAACGGAAACTATAATGATGACTATTTTTGACCCTTTGGGGGTCCATGAGACCCCTGAAATTGGAAGCTAACTGTTCATCTGTATAACTCTTTAAGAACATATATGAGTTTTCCTGGGGAGATGTCAGATTCTAAGAGGCCTACAAACTCGAAAAGGTCAAGATACCCTGTCTAGGATGGTGTCTCTGACCCGCTCTCCGCTGGCCCTGCTCCCACAGGCTGCCCAGCAGAAGTTGCGCCAGGCCAGCACCAACGTGAAACACTGGAATGTTCAGATGAACCGGCTCATGCATCCAATTGAGCCTGGAGGTGAGAAGGGGTAGACCCTGGAGCTTTCTCTGGAGTGGGGCAGGGGAAGGGAGGGAGAAAGGGATCCCTTCAGATCTAGAGAGGCCGTGTGGGATTGAAAGGAGGTTCTCGTCTCCCCCCACGGGCTGAGGCAAGGCCCCTCAACCTCTCCCCTGCGCATGCACCTTTCTCCTTACTTGCAGTTGCCTTTTCTCTGCCAGATAAGCGTCCCACCACCAGCAGCTCCTTTACAGGCTTCCAGCCGCATCTACTTGCCCGCCGCGACTCCTCCCTAAAGCGCCTGACCCGCTGGGGATCCCAGGGCAACCGGACCCCCTCGCCCAGCAGCAGCGAGCAGCAGAAGTCCCTCAATGGTGGGGACGAAGCTCCCATCTCAGCTTCTACCCCTCAGGAAGACAAACTGGACCCAGCACCAGAAAATTAGCCTCTGCTATCCCCTCCCGCCCTCCAACCTCATACCCACCAGAACCTGGCCACAGCTGGCCTGTGGGTGATGCCAGCCCCCCCAGAAGAGGGAGCTGAAGTCCTGGTGCCAGGAGCCCCCTCGGCCCTCCAGCCATGACACAGTCCAGAATGGAGCCTAGTTCATTTTTGGCACCAGCCCCAGACCCCTGACCACTGAGGCTGTCTGGGATGTTGATCCTTGAGAACTTGATCTTGTGCCTTAACCCCAAGGACCCTGTGCCCTGGGCTGGATAAGAGAGCAGACAAGCAAGCCAACGGCGTGTGCCCTCAGACGGCCACCAGGTGGTGGAGGCGCATTTCCAAATAAAAATTGCTCTTGGAATGAACCCTTGATCAGGTCTCCCGTCCATCTCTCCTGCCATGTTCGCTCTTCCTGCCTCAAATCCAGTTCTAGGTCCCAGAAAGAGTAAAGTGGAATGCAGGGGCGAGGCAAGTACACTCTGCCACTTACTAACTGGGTGACTTTGGTCCAGTCTGCTCACCGGCTTGTGCTTCAGTTCCTATGTTGGTAAAACAGGGCTACGAATAGTACCTGCCTTACAGAGTTGTTGTCAGGATTAAGTGCTCGGCCCACAAGCAAGCACTATTATTAGTATCACCCAGAAGTGGTTACTGAGCATCTAGTCTATGCCCTGCAGTTTCCCTGGTTATTTCATTGTCGTGGCAACCCTGAGAGGTGGATATTATTATTCTCATGTTACATGTGGAGAAACTGAGGCCCAGCGAGATCAGGTAACTTGCCCAAAGCCTTTCAAACTCGCTTCTTTTCCCATTTATTTGACTCACTGACCTTGTCACCTAAGACAGAGCTCTGAAAATCTAGGGTGCTCCTCCCCCCCATACCCCTTGTGGTACACAGCCCATCATGAAATCCGGTAGATCCTCCTTCACTCTCTCATAGCTATCCCTTCCTCTCTATGGCTATGGCCACTGCCACAGCTAGGGCCTTCATATCCTCCTCCTCTGTGCTCACCTTCGACTCCTTCTCCATCTTGCCCCATATCTAATCGGTCAGGTCAAGTTCACGTTCCCACATGTGGCACATGAGACCTGTGACGCCCTAGCCCAGGAGAGCCTCCTATGCCTCTGCTTTATAGATCTGCTAATGGCTCCCCTCCTTTTCCTTCCCCTGGGCCTGCACACTGGCTGTCCTTCCCACCTCACTTCTTGTAACAGCCTCCATAACCAGATGCATGAGTTCCTTGAGGGCATGGACATATCTTCAACTTACATCCCCAGGGCCCAGCACAATGCTTGGCTCTTAGCAGGCCTGCAACAGGTGCTTGTTGAATGATTCAGTTCTGAAAGGAATGACTGGGTGTCACGCAGCTTAAAAGTGATGAAGGAGCTAAGATTCAAACTCAAGTCCATTCATTTATTCAATGAATTATTTATTAAGCTCTTACATGCCAGCTATTGGGCTGGGTGCTGGCTACACGGCCCAGAACAAAACAGATGGAGTCCTTGCCCTCCTGCAGCTTATGTGCTAGCTGATATCAAAGTTCATTGCTTTTGCAAGGACACCAAGCCCTATTGCAAGGAACTTCATTACAGTCTATTTAAAGTGTCATGAAACAAAACTACCAGTATAACACAATGCATATTGTGGGATGGGAAGTGAGCTTCAAACTCTAAGGGCAATAGGAATTCGGAAGAAAGGGAAGGAAGCATTAGGTAGGGGCTGGGATTCACAATGGCCCTTAAAATTTTTCATAAGGAAGGAGAGTAGGAGAACATGGAAACAACATTAAGTAGAAAGAAGCATAATACATCTATGAGCACAAGAAATTTGGATTCTGGATGGGAATCCCTCCTCTGGTGGGAAAGTCAATGGTCCTCTAATTGGAGGTGGGGTATCTCTAGGGTACAAGGAGTTTTAAGAAAATCAATTTGTAGATCCTCAACTTCCAAGCGTGCTCTTTACCAAAACTGCTATCCTCTTTTTTTTTTTTTTTAAGATTTATTTATTTTAGAGAGAGACAAAGCGGGAGGGGCAGAGGGAGAGGGAGAGAGAATCTCAAGCAGACTCCGCACTGAGTGAGGAGCCCAACACGAGGCTCAATCCCATGATCCCGAGATCACGATCTGAGCCGAAACCAAGAGTTGGACGCTTAACCGACTATGCCACTGAGGCACCCAAAACCGCTGTCATCTTTCATTGCCGCCTTCCCTACTTTCTGTAACAAGGTTCACCACTCGCTCACCCATTATCTTTCAATGGTGGACTGGGGGGGAGGGGCGGAATGCCCTGGAACACTAAACAAAGCAGCAATTTGCAATTCTGGTGCTGGCTGTGGGTGCTGAGAAAATGAATGGCTTAAAAGCCGGACAATAAATTCTTTTTGTTTTCAAGTCAGGAGGTTTCTAAATCTTTGCTTTCAAAACCTAGAAGGATTTAATTGCATTGTCAGCTGAAAAATCATTAACAGTATCTTTTCATAGTAGATCTTTGTGATTTTTTTTTTTTTTTTTTTGGTAAACAACTGAGATTTAGATGCCACTGCTATATCAAAATCCTCAATCCCCATCTACTTATTGATGTGAAATGAAAATAAAGTGTAAATGAAAACATGGGCCTGGGGGCGCCTGGGTGGCTCAGTCGTTAAGCGTCTGCCTTCAGCTCAGGTCATGATTCCAGGTCCTGGGATCGAGCCCCGCATTGGGCTCCCTGCTCGGCGGGAAGCCTGTTTCTCCCTCTGCCTGCCACTCCCCCTGCTTGTGTTCCTTCTCTCACTGTGTCTCTCTCCGTCAAATAAATAAATAAAATCTTAAAAAGAAAAAAAAGAAATACATTTCTACGGGCACGTGGGTGGCACAGTTGGTTAAGCATCTGACTCTTGGTTTTGGCTCAGGTCATGATCTCAGGGTCATCAGATCGAGCCCCAGCATCAGGCTCCGCGGAGCCTGCTTAGGATTCTCTCTCCCTCGGCCCCTCCCGCTCATGCTCTCTCTCTCTCTCAAAATAAATAAATCTTAAAAAAAAATACATTTCCAATGTATCCTTTGTATTTATGTGTAATACTTATAAAAATCATAGTATTTATGTTGTTTTGATCAGTTGTGTATTACTAATTTTGCAATGGCCAAACAAACCAGAAAAAAATTTCTCAGAGTTTTATAGTTACATGAAACTTAAAATTTTTTTAAATTTGGGGCACCTGGGTGGCTCAGTTGGTTAAGTGACTGCCTTTGGCTCAGGTCATGATCCTGGCGTCCCGGGATCGAGTCCCACATCGGGCTCCCTGCTCAGTGGGGAGCCTGCTTCTCCCTCTGACCCTCCCCCCTCTCATATACTCTCTCTCTTTCTCGCTCTCTCAAATAAATAAATAAATAAATCTTTAAAAAAATTTTTTTTTAAATTTTGGGGCGCCTGGGTGGCTCAGTCAGTTGAGCATCTGCCTTAGGCTCAGAGCATGATCCCAGAGGCCTGGGATCAAGCCCCCCCAACCCCGACCGAGCCCCTCCATCGGGATTCCTCCTCAGTGGGGAGCGTGCTTCTCCCTCTTCCTCTGCCCACTCATGCTCTCTTTATCTCAAATAAATAAAATCCAAAAAAAAATTTTTTTAAATTTCAACGTATATACATATTTTGGTTGCAGAGATGTACAATACAGTAATCAATAAAAGACAAGCAAAATATATGTTACATTGATCAGATTTTTGAGGAGAAAGTGGAATGGAAATGCAAGTACAAGGAGAAAAATAGACAATGTAACATTTTTTATTGATAAAGAAGAGCTTCTTCATGTATTTTTAAGATGGGTGATGGTAAGCTTCACATCACTATGGGATTTGGGTCTTATTCAATACATTTAAAAGGGCAGTAACACAGTTTTATGTGAAAATGTCAATATTTATAGAATAGTAGAAATGACATTCATTCTCTACATTTTAAGTTTTAAACTAATGGCAAAAAATATTAGATGTCACCTTAAAAATGTGCAAGGACCTGCATAGTTATATATTCTTTTAGGAATAGAGAGGCAAAAAATTTGAAGACTACTACCATGAAGGCAGAAAGGACTAGAAAGGTAGAATGAGGCCTGATTATAGACATTCTTGGAAACCAGGTAGAGTTTAGACTTGAGGTGGCAAGCCAACCCCTAAGCTTTGGTTTTCCTCACCTGTAAATGGGGTCCATTCCAGGCTTTTGAATATTCTATGACCGGCCACAGGGAGGCGTTGATGGTTGAGGTACGAGATACTGAAAGGCGGATCACCCTGATGCCTGAATTCGGTCCACATTGGAACTGGCACAAAAGGCTCTCAGTCTTGAGGGACAAAACTAGGGGCAGGAGAAGATATTTTCCAGTCTTTCATTCCAGGATTAAAAAGTAACTCCTCTTTCCTTTCCAACATCCCGGACAAAGGAGAGCGTATCCAATCTCTGATGCCCTCGGAGATCCTCATCACCTCTGGAGACCACGTGGAGAGCACAGCCATTGTGGTCCCAAGTCATCCCAGTACGGCTTCTATGTGAGGAGGAGTGGGGACGTAGGGCAATTGGCTGGAGTGCAACAGCCTTGTTGCAGATTGTGGCCAGGATCTGCAAGATGCCTTCTCCTCCAGCACAGTGTGTCTATCCAGGCTGGAGAGGGGCCAGCTGAGAGTTGCCCCTCTGGCCCCTCTCATAGGTGAGATGGGGAGGAAGAGAAATACCAAGGAGGGTGATTTTAGGAGGCTAAGCGAGGCTCCCACCAACTGGCTGGGGCCTGAAATAGCTGTGGTGGAGGCTGGAATCTAGTTCAAATCAGATCTAGCCTTATTCCACACTATAAGTTATTGTTCAGTTATACTGTGATTGGGCATCAGAACAGGTTTTGGTACCTGAGCTCTCTGGCTGGTCTGGAAAAGGTTACAGAGGCTTGGCAGGGATCAACATTTCCCCCTTTAAGCTGTGCCTGTGGACAAATCTGGTCAAAATGAAGATTCAAGGGGCACCTGGGTGGCTCAGTCAGTTAATTAAGCATCTGCCTTTGGCTCAGGTCATGATCTCAGTGTCCTGGGATCAAGCCCCACATTGGGCTCCCTGCTCAGTGGTGCTCCTTCTCCCTCTGTGATCTCTCTCCCTCTCACTCTCAAACAAAACAAAACAACCTTAAAAAAAAAAAAATGAAGATTCAAGAAACAAAAACTGGTTTAAGTAAAAAAAAAAAAAAGGATTTTTGTTAATAGAGTATAGAAGAATTCTTTAAATAATTGGGAGGATGAGAAAGCCAGCTCGGAGGCTATATAGTCAGAAACAATACCTCAAATTACGGCACACGACAGTTTTTATGAAGACGTCCAGCTGCTTCGTCTGGGTACAGATGCTGCTGATTCCATGGCTAA